GTTGTTGATGCAACGGATTCTTCAACAAAAATTTTTAATTTCCATCACCTCAAAGAGGATTTCACTCAGAATTTAAACACAAGGTTTATATAGTATAAATCATTCAAACAGCTCACATTTCGGCAGTTTCGTCTATCTCTAGAGCCGGAAATGGTAAGTTGCCTACAACCCTATTCAGCTAAACATCAAAATTGCTTCATCAAAAAAATCATCAAACCTAGTTTTGGGTCACATCAAGCAGAAAGCAGCCTTACAACATACTCGGTGCTTTTCATGAGCCCTCCACTAAATAGTTTTGGTGAACACCAACAATGCTGAAAATCACATCACTAAACCTATGTTTGGATCACATCAAACCACAAATAGGGTATTTTTAGCAGAGTAATGGAGCTGTTTAGCTGACTTGTTTGTGGGAAATGTGAACTTTCAGGAGCTGAGGAACATGAAACTGCCGGAACGTCAGCTTTTAAAGAGAATGTATTTTATCAGCCTCTCGTTTGGACGTCCAAAAAAGTGTGAATTATTGAACAATACCGAGGTCAATAGATAGTTGGTGGCGAGCATTACTTGACATGGCCCTGCTTTTATCAAAGAGAAGACCTAAGTTCTGCTCTAGCTTACCTTCAGTGGTGCATGCTATTTGCTTGAACTCTCAAGATTCTAATGTGCTTTTATAGTTTTTTCTTTGCAGAAATATAGCTAATCTTCAAATGTGCAAAATCTCTTTTCCTGATCTTCTCTTCGTCCTTCAGATCTATTCCTTGTCAAAAGGATGAAATGTTTCCCTCGCTGAGCAGTTTGGCTAACATATTGACAATGTCGTATAGCTCTAGTTCATTTCATCGCCGAATTTTCTCAACGACTCAAAGTTGACTTTCTGTGCTGCGTTCTGTGAGCTCCGAGGTTGTGTGATAAAAATTTCTTGTCTTTCATGTGATGGTCGTTAACCGTCTCAAGTTCGCATCAACAATCTGATTAGAAGAACGGTCTCGGCCCTTGTGAAATTATTGCATGGAAGTGTTATCTTCTGAATATCACTCAGACGAATGGAATGTAGAGTAGATAACAAAGCAACTACTTCCTGCAGGCGCGTGATGTGCTGATTTCGGCTCAGTTAATTCTTTGTCTCTCAATGACGAACAGAGGAATTTCGTTTTTTTGCATCCTAATTGAGTAAATGGAATCAGCGGTGGAGAAAGTGGTTGCATATGCTCGAGCACGATGTTCCCTATCTGCGTTAAAACCTGATAGGAACAATATACGTTAACAAAACGAGTAAACTGCTTTGTGTTTCAAAAATAACGTCCATATAGGAAAGTTCAAGAGAAAAAGCCACTTGGAATCTAGGCCTACGCTGCTCAAAAATCTTAAAACACTCAAAATAAATTCCAAAAATCATAAAATAAGCAGCAGGGAGAGATGCTATGAATTGCTATTGCATAGCTCGTTACCTCAGGATGATCTTATGTGAGACATCTCAATAGTTATCCAAGAAAACTCTCTGCGGGTGGTCTTCTTTGTGGGAGCCTTATGACGAACGAATACTGAATAGTGATAGAGTTTTTTCTGTCGGGTTTGGTAAATTTTTGACTAACTAATCTGCGCTCAACCTTAACTTTGCACATATTTTGAAAGAGGCAAAAACCTTCAAATTGTTAGATTACAATAAAACAATTACTTTTTCGAACAGCATGCATTGATCAAAAAAGATTATTGGTCATATTATTGATCAATTTCGAAGTGAATTTTACGAATTTGACTAGAATTTATGAGGCACGTTTGGGCGGAAAAAAGCTGTGCTATTTTTCATAATCATAGCTGTGAGTTTTTGACAGCAAGTATGACTGAAGATCTTCAGTTGCGGAGCGACACAGAGCTGTTGTAGTTTTTGATTGGATCGCTTTTGCCGGAACAGTCGTCAGCTACGGATGATCTGCATTGATAGATCTTTTGTGCTGATTTCCAGTAGCAATTAATGATAATTCTTTCTAGTAGGATATCATTAAAATGCTCAATATTTTCAACCAGCTAGTTCTTCACTTCAATTCACCTTTTCCCATCCTAGAGTCAACATTTGCAAGGTAAATACATATGCTCTATTTAGGTGGAATTTCCGATGGTATGATGATAACTACTGCAAGAAAAAAGTGTGATAAGTGAAGTTATTTTGAAACAACGAAGTCGCTCCCTATGTTCGCGGTTTTCTTTCACCTACCGCTGCTTTGTTGCCATTTGGTGATCCATCGAAATGGGTCATTCCTTTTCCTTGTCACCGTTGTTTCCTAATTATTTATTCTGAAGATTCCGCTTTTGCAAAATTTATTGAACGTACTTTGCTAGAAGATGGATGATTAAGAGACACGGGCGTTATATTGAAATTTGTGGAATGTAGAACGAAAAATAAAGGACAGACAATACGAGATTTGATAACATTTTGTCACGAATACTTTTTGAAAGAGCACTGATATCGTATAAGTAGCTAAAGATTCAGAGAAGTGCGTAGCTTAAAAAGTGATTTTCTGGCATATTCAGAGTGAATCACTTATGCTGTCTTTTCTCCTCCGGAAAACCCCCTTCAATGACCTGTGTAGAAACAAATCTACTCCATGTTTTTTGCTTCCCGTGCAATGTTTACGACGAACAACTGGTAGAAGTTTGATGAGTTTTATGGAATTATAGATAAGGACTGGTGCGAAACTCCTTTGAGACTAGTAGGCAACATAAGGGTCGACTTTTTGCTAACTTTGTATGCGTTCATGGCCGATGAAATCAAAATCCCGCATGCCGTAGATCAGTCACACTGATAAAGTTATTGAAATAAATCGCTCAGCACTGGATGTATCAGCGATTTCTCAATGTGACAAATTTATTTACATAGCCAAAAAGGTGTGGCAAAACAGAAAACCCACTGATTAAGAAAATTATTTTGATGGATCATTCCGTTGAAAAAATCTCTATATCTGTAGCTCAAAATGTATTCATTCCGGAAGCTTTACAGCAGAGGATAACCAGATTCATATAGTATGGCTCGGTAAATGGATCGAAATACAACAGCGGCCCCTCATGTATTCATATATTTGCTACCTAATCCACGAAAGTTCCATGTACCTGGTCTAGATGTTCGATACCAAATCGTGTTCTTACTATAACACTTGCCAACTCAAGTCTAACGTTGTTCACATATTCTTACAGCTGTGAACTAGACGTGTCACGTTGATATCACTTTTACTACACTCTAAACTACATCTAAGTGCTGAACAATACAAGTGTGGAGGAGCTTAGAAAAATATTGCTGAAGTTGTGCTGGCTATAGGCCAATCGTACACATAAATGTATCACTTCAGATCATCTACATTTCCGACTTAGGTGTTTGGATGGATCTGAATGCTGAGACTCTTCTCACTTATGAATGCTTACCACACAACTTTCAACTAGTCAATGAAACCCAAGCAAAGAAATAGTTTGAACAACTTGTTTCTCTAAAACAAAATAGGATTTTTACTCGAGTGGACTAGCAAGACAATCACCTAAAGGAAATTAGTAGCTGTGGAACGTGCAGGCAGAGATTACTGCAGATTTGGAAAGTAATTCGAAAAAATTAACACCGCGCTGGAAAATGAAAATTTATGGAGAATCTTCTGTTTCCTTAAATATGCTGTGCCGCCCTTGTTCTGCGTATATTTGCTTCCATAGTTCTCTGCTTATCAACGTCATCCATCTCTCAAGGTTGTCAAGCGAGCTTGCATGAGAAAGGCTCCATCCAATCCACAAGAAATGTTTCTAGTTTGACAATCACCTGATGTCTCAGTAGCAAAATTGTTCACAAAGTCTAAATAGAACTGATTCTAAAATCACTGAATGATACTCATTGGTAAGACAAGTTTCTTTATCAGCATCCGTACCCATCTGTATATCTGAACACCTGCGCTGAATAATGGATGCATTCTTGATTTGATGATTTTCCTTGCAATGATACTGAAAACCTCTCAGCGATTTCGATTAGCAACACCATAAAACGATCACGATAACGGCAGACTTCTGCAGCTGATCCGCTAGTTCTCAAAAAGCAAAGGTCATAAACGTCTGCTAATTTCCACCCTCGAATGCGATGTTGTCTATGAGTAGCTTTCCGTGGAAATGACAGAAAATGAAGAATTGAAGGCACCATGGTAGGGATATCATCTTACCAGACCATAAGTCGTTAAAACCCATTGGATTCACCAAACTTTTCGTAGCTGATTTGCATGAGAAAGTGTTTTTACTTAGCTCACTACGTGCGACGCCGAGATTGCGATGTATATGGGTACAGCATTTATGGTCTTTTGAAACCACTTGCAAACCTCTTGAACCCTTTTGAAGTCCTTCGAAATTTTGTGCACCGAGTAATAAAATGATGATTATGAGAATCCAATCCAACGAAAGTCGAATACTGATTATGAATTCATTGATGATAAATGCTGTAAAAGATGAATGATAATAGACCCATTCGCTGGACTCCTCTTATTTAACCGTTTCTAGCGGTGGTATGACGTTTCAAATCTACCCATTGGTGTAGAGTGATGTGCAATCCTTGACGCCGGGTCGGACTAGAACCCTCACCTCATTCTTTCCGAAGTGTGCTCTATCCGATACACTGCTGATGCCCATTTTGCCACATCACTCTTTCTACGCTACAGCGCATCTATCTGTCGGCCGTCAGTCATCAACTGCCTGGCCCGGGTAGCCAGTATCGACATTGAAATCCCGGAGAGTGCGGTGCAGGTTCTAGTCCCGCCTGACGCGAAAGTTTTGCACATCCCTCTACATCAATGGGTATATTTGAAATATCATAGCATCGCTAGAAACGGTTGAATAAAAGGAATTCCATTTGATCTTTAATACTCAATATCTGTCAACGTGACTGGTTTCAATGTCAAGACCGACTACCGGGCCAGGCCGCGGACGGCTGGCGTCTGACAGATGAATGCGCTGTAGAGCAGAAAGAGTGATGTGTATAATGGGCGTCAGTAGTGTAACGGATACAGCACATACTCCCGTAAAGCGAGGTGCAGGTTCTAGTCCCGCCTGGCGCGAAAGTTTTGCACATCACTCTACATCAGTGAGATCCCTTCATTATTATTTGAGCCAACGTGTCATGTAGTGTGGTAAATGAGCTCTTATACAGCCCGATACACGTGTTTCGATTCGTACAGTCTCGTCAGTCGGGCAGAACCTGTCGTCCTCAATCTTTTTTAGCCAATCCTCTGTGGTTGCTCCAGTCCCCACTCTAAGAATTGTCGATGACAATAAAGGTGTAGATGATAATAGTTCATGAGTGATTTAAATACGAAGCAGTGATTTGTTCGAACAGGATCTGCTATTAAAAAGAAAAAGCTAAAATTGAGATGCTGGTGCAATTTTACAATAGCTTTGGTAGATACCTTACATTGTCCTCTACTCCCGCTAACATTAAGTTCATTATTGTGCTGACTATTCTTCTCAATAGTGTAAGAACATAGTCAGATCTTTGCTTTATCTACTCCTGATAATTCATTGATTTTTCATTGTTTTCTAAATTTTAGGCTTATCTTCGTCCACACACTGCCACTACCCCATCATTTTTCTCTACAATCACCTCTCATCTCTTTTCTAGTGTATGGGGGAGGGGGAAGGCGTGATTTGCGATTAGGTACTTCAACTGCACCTTATCGCATTCGACCACCTGATAGTTTGCCCGTTCTTGGTTGACTCTGATCTTAGCATTCGAGTAACCGTGAGCAATTTGCATAAAAGATGGAAATTCTCGCTTTGACCTTTTTCCTCACTCTTCTCTTCTGCGTAGAATCACAGTAAGTTACCTAAGAAGAATGCCAAAATCTTTATCAATTCTTCTTAATGACCTTCGATTAACGGATTTCTAAGGATCCGTTTTCTTTTTTGAAGAACATACTTCAAAGCAATATTCTAGCGATGCCAAAGCTGTTGAGTTATCGAAGGCACCGAAAGGAGAACTTTATGCTCTATTGGTAGCCGGTTCAAATGGATTTGGGAACTACCGTCACCAGGTATGTGTGTGTGGGTACTTAGGCGGATATATATATATATATATTATATATATATATATATATAATATATATATGTTCACATATACGTTTGTGCATGCATATATACGTATATGTGTATATAGGTATATAAAAGCTTAGGTACTTCTCCATTCTCGGAAAGGGTTCTGTGGAGAGGCCTTCTATAGTAGACAAAAATTTCACATTTCGAGAGTTTGAGTCCCGATGATTTTAAGAGTCTATCTGTTTTTTTTTTGAGTTTGAAAAAATTCTTACAATGCTGTAACGTCAGAAATAAATGAGTTTTAAACGCGGCGGGCTTTGTAGCGCGTGATTTCGATAGATAGAGCTTTTCTTGTGAATCGTTGGCAAGCATTCGATAGCGAAAATCTCGGTGACTTGGACACGCTATTTTTCTGAAAGAATACAGAATTTGAGTTCACAAGTGTACTTATGACAAGACAGAGCTCATCTCTTTGACTATAAGTAGTCATTTGATAGCGTGAATTTCGATGATTCACCACTGTGCATGTTTCCAGGAAAGACTTTTTTCACTGCACTGTAACAGAGGATTCTTTTTGAGTTTCACACACGCCGCGCATGCATGTCGGCTAGTGTGTGTGAGTAACTATATATCGATTGCGCGGTTGACCAATTGCGCAGCGTGTATCACATGTGGCTCGCGTTTGTTAGCAACTTTAGGATCTCACCTCCGTTTTGAGAAATCTAGTTTCATCCACGTTTCCAATGCAAAAACCGAGAAACCTTCTTGTAATAAAGGAGAGCATTTCAGTTCATTAACAGAAGCACCCGAGATAACACGTGATGCGTAAGACGCAATTTCATTATCTCCACTGTAGCGTTAGAAAGAGAGTTTTTATAAAATGAATATACCGTTGAAGCTGCCAAAAATCAGGCTATTTAATGTTCACTAATAATTTAGGGATAGCCCTGTCCTACGAACAGCGCGCGAGGTGACGTATAACGCATGTATGACACAATTTTATTTTCGCTGCTACACCGCTGTGATTTTCAAAAAACCAATACTTCCTTAGAATATCCGCAATTTTAGCTTTCAAATGTTTATTGAAAGTCTCATGGAAATTCTTTATCCACAAGGAACGTGTCTCAGAAACCATTCTCGACAATCTTGGTGATACTCGTGTCCCTTATAAACTTGGCAAATAGGCGCAGACAGAAAAATGAACTGACGAAAATGAAGAATCTGGCTATAGGTCACTACTGAGTGTTCAGTCAATCGTAAGAATTTCATTCGTTCATATAACCAACCTAAAGCCACTTCAGGCTGATGTCGCTCATGCCTATCAGATACTGAAGAAAAACGGAGTTCCTGAAGACAATGTCATAGTTATGATGTACGACGACATTGCTAACGATCCAAAGTGAGAAACTGAGCTCTACGTTTTCTTCTACTATTGCAAACCGACAAGTTGCATGTTTTAAATGTGTTATCGACACCGCGTAACAACCTCTCCTTATGTGCGTCTTTGCTTAATGCAGAAAGTGATATTTTTCAAGTCACCAAGCTACGTAGATTGTCCATAATCACCCTATTTGAGTTCAGGTATTGTCCATTGTAATCGTTTTTTTTGGAGCTATTGTGTACAGAAGCAGATAGATTCCTCAAACTATTCAAGAGTTTCATTTTTCTAAAGCCATTCACATGCTAGTGGATTATAGAGGAAATCTGTTTCAAACTCGACAAAGAGTAGTTATCTACTCTTGTCAGTCACACGAATATTTCTCTGATTGCGCCTTGAATTTTGAGCAAGGTTGATGCAGTTGCTGTGTTTAGACATATTATAGTAATCTCGAAACAACACTGAGAACTTTAGTATTAAGAATCGCAACTTTAGAGTAATCCACAGATGTAAAAGTTTTTTGAATTGACAGCTGCATTTTTAGAAACCCATATCCTGGAAAGCTCTTCAACAAACCACATGGTCCTGATGTCTATCATGGATTGAAAGTTGATTACAAAGTCTGTTTACAGTTATCATTATTTGGAGACTCAATACATTCATTTGTAGTACCGTGACCTACAACCACACCTTTCCGCATACCTCATGAGACGGCATTAAACTCAATATCAATCTGTATACAATCAGAAATTTGTTACAATCGAGTTGCCTAGATCTTTACTTATAGGGCAATTCTGTAACACCCCAAAACTTCCTAAATGTTCTACAAGGTAACGCAGAAAATGTAACGGGTGGCAACGGACGAGTCATAAACAGGTAAGGAATAACGTTCAATAGAATTTGAGCAGAGAAATACTTCTGTTTGCAAATTCAGTACCGCCAATGATCGCATCTTCGTCTTCTTCACTGACCACGGCGGCTCGGGTTTGATTTGTTTCCCGGATGACGTTGTGAGAGCTTAAGATCATCTTTTTTATATTGCGTATTAGACAACAGAGATTTACTCAAGTCGTGAAGACTGGTAACCACCATCAATTTTAGTTATCTGCAGAGGATTTGCACACAGCGCTTCACCAAATGCACAAGCAAAAGCGTTACGCTGAATTTGTTTTCTACTTGGAGACTTGTGAAAGTGGATCAATGTTCGAAGGAATATTAAAAGAAGACACAAATAGTTAGTCTTAACAATGTAACATACATCTGAAGCTTCAGTTTCCTTGTTCGAATGCCCACGACTGGCGTGGGACGCGAAGTTGGTGCCAGACTTTTCAGGGAGAAGCACTACTGACTTGATTTATCAGTAGGCTAACACAAGCCTTTGTATACTCTACATAAGTATTCATTCGAACCCTCTAACGAAAGAGTGCTTCTCCCTTCTATCCTTTGACCTAGGGTTATTTGTTTTAATGAGCTGAAACGATCGGTGAACAATATTTGCTTTCTATTTGAGTATATGCCATGACTGCTGCGAGTTCGGACGAACCATCGTGGGGCACATATTGCTTCACTGACATGCATCTTCCATGTCTCGGCGATCTTTTTTCGGTAAATTGGATGGAAGACACCGAGGCGGTACATTTTCATTCTATTGAATTTTCAGATTATTGTCTTAAATTCCTCCGTTTAATAGGATAATGAGAGTAAGACATTCATAATATTCTGTTGATAAATAGAAATTACTAATTCCATCACAACACATGTTATTGTAAATCTGAACACGAACGTGAATTGATTTTGTGAGCTAGTGATATTTCGGTGCCAATGATGATCCTTTATTTTTAGCATGACACTGGTGTAGAAACACTAAAGCTGCAATTCGAAGATGTGAGAACACTGACCAACTTGTCACATGTGATGGAATATGGTGATCTCAAAATCACAAAGGAATCAGTTGGCACTTTTGAAGCAGACAAGAAGAACAGAGAGCGGGCCGAGTTTCATTAGACATCAATGAGGTTACCTATTCATTTGACAAATCTATCACAAGCTTGCGTTCCTTTGATTATCTAACATTTGTTAATTGCCGTAAATGAAAACTCCGAACAGATATAGGACAGTAATACATTTGGACAAAATTACATCCGTCATTTAGACTTTTCGTCATTCAGGTTCAACATCCAAAGGTTTCTTGGCCTTCAAGAGATATTGAACTGATGCATTTACAAAAACTCCAAGAATCTGCTAAGGACGCAATGATCTCTATGCTTTTGAAACAGAGGATCGCCAAGATTTACGAGGTACATAAGTATTGGAGCTAGAGCATCTCACCACTTTCGTTGAAATTCTACTTCATGAATTTTGAGAGAAAATTTTCTAACTCAATTTGGAAGGTTATAGAAGAATAATAACAAGTAACGATTTCAGAAGGTCACGTAAAGTTAGAAGAAAAATTATGCGTTCAATTTTGATCAAGGAATCCTTCAGGGAGGAGGCCTGTACTACACTCCATTCAACTATCTCAGAAGTGTTTATACGCAAATTCGGCATACACACTGCTTGCAGGGGGATTGCAAGGCGTCAACCTTATGCTTCTTATTTTCTTAAAGAAGTCTGGAACCATTATGCCAACCCGCAATTGATGAGGAGTTT